CACACGAAGTTTTGGATGATCCTAAAAACGATTTTTGGTGTTAAGATATGAGTCGATGATCCAAGAGTGTTATGAAAACATGTAATATCACTTGAGTTAGAAGGAAATACTTACCAATAAGTGAATAAATGAATCAAGAACACATCAAAAGTGTGGCTGAAAGTTGAGAGAAAAGAGGCCCTCTTGATGGTGTAAGAAGTGTATAATGTTTGATGGTGAAACAAATGATCAAGGAAATCCCAGGCATTTCCTTATATGGAGGGTTGCTGGAGCAAGTGGCTAGGGTGAAGGGATGTTTGCCTTGGTTTGTGTGATGTGGATAAGGTTGGACCAATGAGAAAGTAACACATAAGAGGCAAGTGGGCACACTTGACCCACTTGTGGTGTAGGATACTATTCTTAATGTAAAATAATGATTTATAATTAATAAATCCTTGAAAAATAATTAAAATAAGAGTTCTGGGGGTTAAAATGATAAAAATATGAATTTGGTGAAAAAATCCCGTCAAAAACGTCAAAAACGGGCTTAGGAAGTGAAAGTGGTCGAAAACCGGACAATAGGGACCGAACCTGCGAGGTTCAGCTCTAAGAGGATGAGAACCGAGAGAAGGGAAGAAGGAACCGAGAGGGAAGGAGAAGGACCGAAGGTGCGAGGGGGAGGGCCGAAGGTCAGGTCTCGGTCCGAAGTAGCTAGGGAACCGAAATAGACCGAACCCTCGGTCCATTTCGGCTGAGAGGGTTTCGGTTCTGATGCATGTTCGGTCCGAGAATGGGAGGTTCGCTTCTGACAGGTTCGCCTCTGACAAGTTCGGCTCCTAAGAGGTTCGGTTCCTAAGAGGGGTTTCGGTCCTATATAGCTGTTTTTCGAGAAATCTTTCCGTTTTGCGTGATTTTTGACCAAGTTAAGGGTCGGGATGACTATAAAAAGTTTGAGAGAGATTTTGGGAGAGATTTGGGAGAGATTTCACATACTTGGAGAGATTTGTGAGAGATTTCACATACTTGGAGAGGTTTGGGAGAGATTTCACATACTTGGAGAGATTTCACATACTTGGAGAGATTTGGGAGAGATTTCACATACTTGGAGAGATTTGGGAGAGATTTCACATACTTGGAGAGATTTGGGAGAGATTTCACATACTTGGAGAGATTTGGGAGAGATTTCACATACTTGGAGAGATTTGGGAGAGATTTCACATACTTGGAGAGATTTCACATACTTGGAGAGATTTGGGAGAGATTTCATATACTTGGAGAGATTTGGGAGAGATTTCACATACTTGGAGAGATTTCACATACTTGGAGAGATTTGGGAGAGATTTCACATACTTGGAGAAATTTCACATACTTAGAGAGAGATTTCACATACTTAGAGAGATTTGGGAGAGATTTCACATACTTTGAAAGATTTGAGAGAGATTTAACCTTAGCCATTATTATCGTATAATCTCGTAATGCAAGGTTCGTGAACCCCGTTATGCTTCGTTAATGATCGTTTTAAGTCCCCGAAAGGGTCCTTAGTCGTGTTTTGATGCGTTTAACTCCCTTTTTAGGGTTTTTTTTTTAATTTTTTTTTACATTTTTAACACATAGATTCTTCGAGACACTTGAATTTTTGACATACAAATACACATTTTTATACATAGAGTAACTTTTTAACATACAAGTACTAGTTAAGTTTGACCGGTTTGACTTGTTGACTTTGACTTTGACTTTGACTTAAATTTGGCGGTTGTCACAACATACATACACATACAGAGCCGATCTTGGGTATCCCAGAAGAAATATAGAGTTGAAACTGATGCATGTGAAGCATGAACCGAATCAAACGGTGCATATAATTACAACTGAAAAGTAATAAAATAATTAATAGGGTAGAATTAAATACAAAACCCAAATCCAAACACTGGTACATGAATTCCTAAAGGTGAAGGCTTAGCGCTTAAAAAAATCAGCGGCTGAAAGAAAATGTAACATCCGTTCCAGGTATGAATCAACTTTTTTATGTATTAACTTTAAATTTGGTGACCACGGTGTGGTGGAGCGTCACCATGACATGACAAAATGTTTTAGACTGCGAGACTTAAATAACCCGCCACGATGTGGCCTTAGGTGTCACGACGTGGCAAGTGTTTTTAGTGAAAACCCCTAATTTCAGGCTTGGGCCCTATATAAAGAACATTAAGGCTAGGGTTTCATGATCATTCAGCCTCCATCTCCCTCTGAAACTTAGAAACCTTAACCCTAGCCTCAATTGAAGTTGTGAGCTCATTCTTGGTGCTTTTTGGTGATTTTTTGAAGGAGAAGGAAACCCTTGGTGTAGTAGTTACTTGGCAAGCATCTTTTTCTTCATTTAGCACATCTCCTGGACCTTGGTGAGTGTCCAAGATCCAATCTTTTCCTTACCATGTTTCTACATCTCTTCATTTTGTCCCTTTTCTTCATGTATTGATGGATTTGAGTTGTGGGATCTCATAAAGTTTGAAACTCTATGAATCTACAGGTTAAATAGAGTATTTGGTGTCTTTGATATGGATTATGAATGAGTTTTGGTGTCATGCATGGAGTTTTGGTCATTAAACCCTAGTTTTTGACCTAAAATAGAAAGGACATGCATGTCCATAAAGCCACGATCTTTAGGGTTTATTAGGAGTATGAAGTCATTCTGGAAACTTTGGAGGTGCAACTCCAAGGATTGGATGCTTAATGAAAGTCTTGATGCATTAAGTTGTATTTAGGAGTTAGGGTTTGGGATCTTGACTTATTGAGGGGTCTTGAGGAATAAAGTAGAAAACTTTATCCATCAAAGCCATGGGAAGGACCATATATGAGCTTTAGAGCTCTTGAGGTTGGGGAAAAAATACTTAATGGTTTAAGCTGTCCAGACCAATCCCCATGGTGTGGCTTAGGTTGCCACAACTTGGCGACTGGGTCGAGACCCGTCTGTTCTGCCGACTAGCAGCCACAGCGTGACGGCTAGCTAGAGTTGAATTTGACTTTGACCATTGACCGTTGACTTTGACCATGATTGAGGTGTATTTTGGGTATTTTGAGTTGAAATTTGAGTATAGGTCACTATTTGTTGTATAGGTGACCTGTAGAGTTGGCATTTGGAGTAGCGGTCTTTTCTGCTATCTTTTTAGACTGTGAGGTGGGTTTTCCTCATTATACTTATGGGTCGAAGGCACCAATGCCGGCTCATTGGTTTATGTATCCTGGTATATTGGATTGATATTATGCTGAGTATGCATTAGATTGGTAGATTTATATGATTACCTCTGTCCACTGAGTATGCGTTAGATTGGTAGATCTGTATGATTACCTGTGTTACTGGTTATTATTGTATATGTCGACATGTTATGGTTTTTGGATTGAGGCGGTCCTGCTTTGTGCTAACGGACAAGATACCCAGGACGGTCTAGATAGGCTGAAGGCCTGCGAGGCGGTCCAGTTAGATCGAAGGCCCGAAGAGTGGTCCATATAGGTTGTAGGCCCTGCGAGGCGGTCCGGTCAGGCTGAAGGCTTATTTATGCATGTTGTTATCTGTATTGGTTTTGTGTGGTACTTTGGGGGAACTCACTAAGCTTTGACTTACAGTTTAAGTTTTATGTTTCAGATATTTCAGATGATCGGGGAAAACAAAGGCGTGATCGTACACATCCTTTGGTGATATGTTTTGTAGATGTTATGATACATTTATTTTGAAACATTTGTACTTGATCTTGGATTTTTATGACTTGGATTGATGGAAAACAATGATTTCTCTTTAATTAAAAATGATAAATTTTATTGTGGTTTTGGAATGTTACAAAAGAAATCGATGCCTCCTGTACATGACATCGCCTTAGTGGCTGGAAACGCTTTTATTCTCGCCTTAAGTCACCTAGCGCCTTAGGCACGCTTTTTAAAACATAGATTGTGACCCTCAAAAAGAACATCATAATGAAACCCCCAAAGAAGCCCCCACAATGATAGTTTCCAAAACAATTCAGTTCGTTTGAGAAATACGTAACATATCAATCCACATCACCACCTCTTGCACATAAATAAAATCTGGTATGAAGAACTCACATATACCACAAACAATGGAAGAAATTTCCACAAACAATAAATTGGCATAAATAAAAGAAATGAAAATATGCCACAAATCTGGTATGAACAACTCACAAATAATGGACAGATTATCCACATCAATAAAATCTGGTATATCAATAAAATCTGGTATGAACAACTCACAAATTGGCATAAAAGAAATGAAAATACTCACAAATACTAATAAATTGACATAAAAGAAATGAAAATATGCCACAAATCTTCCCTGTCCGAGTCACAAATATCACAAACAATGGACGGAATATCCATGCCTTTTGCATCTAAATTGACATGAGTATCAATTCTATTTAAACGAACATGACAGTAAAAGATATTGATCTTCCGAGGGATAAACTTATTCCATCTTGTGGAAATAATGCCTTCCGGGAGAGTAACCTCATCTATGTCTCGAAGTCAACCAAAAAAATCACATCCATTCAAATTTCAAATCCAGATGTCTCTAGAATTCAACAACTAAAAATCATGTCAAAATATTTTGTTTCTATCCAATTAGTCTTCATCATTTCTACACTGTTTTTGATAATGATATCCAACAATATTTTAACCCATAACAAGTTTGACACTTCAAGACTTCCTACACACATGTCTACTCAAGATAGCAAGGATTTTTTAAAAATGCTGCACCATATCACGAGGTTCAAAATGTTGAGATACCTTTTTACGCCACTTGGCAAGTCTAAATTTATAACAGCAGCCCACATCCTCTGTTACTTTGGTTAATACTTCATTTTTTTGGCAAAAGTATATGTTTATATCAAAAAACATGTCTTATAAGTTTCAGACATATACATGTTACCATCCCAAGAGGATGCCAGGTTAGGTTTTAAACATACAAGAGAAACCTTACAAACTTGCAAAATACTTCTTAACTGGTGGAAACATAAACTCTACCATCTACTAGAAGCATTCCTGGATTGTGCATCGCCCCACCCTCCCCTTGCATGGTTTCTGTTTGAACTGGAGTCTGACCTAACTGACCAAGACTGACCATACACATTGTTTGTCCGAGAACCTCTCCCATAAGTATTCCACCAAGAAGCGCAGCTTGTTTGTTCTTTTGGTGTCCTCGTGGCATCAACAAACCTATTGCTTCGGTTAGGGTTTATTTTAGCTTCTTGAACCCGTGTATGTGATCTATGAACAAAAAATTTGCAAAAATGTTAAGGTCAGAGTCGAAAGCCACCAAGGGAGCATAATTAGCTAGACAAAAGTTGAACCAACAAACCTATTGCTTCGTACAGGGTAACCATGGCTCTCATGCCACAAGCATCCTTCCTCGATACCCGATTCTCTCACAGTCTATTAATCAAATTTTCCAAAAGTTCCATCAATTACTTGGAAACTAACAGCACTAGAAGTCTAGAACAAGACTCAACTTTAATGCATGTTCATGGACTTCAGAAGTGTCTAAAAGCAAATCTTTCATCCATTTTTTAATGAAAAAGACGAGGAAAAACAACCCATGATATTGTATTGTCCACAACAAAACCTTTAAAGTAGGAAAGGATAAATTAGAAGCCTGTCAAAGCAACAGAACCTGATCATAAGGATCCAAAATGACATACCGGTTCTGGAATGGCTGTGCCTTCAAGGACACGAGGGATATGAAGAGAGAAGCATGGTGGATCATAGTATACACATCTGTAGCATAGAAATATACACTATTTAAGACAGTAGAACAATATTCTAGATTATAAATCCTGAGTGATGACTGAAAAAAGCATTTTCTTACAGAACATCAAGATCGTTTCCAAGGCCTTTAGAATCACGAACATACTCGGGCTCTAGGTTAGGATGGATAAAACCATTTATGTCTCCACTGAAATTGAAACAAGAGAAGAAAATATATACATTAGGAAAAAGAATAATCACCACATATTAATAATGGACAGCACAACCTTAAGCCTGTCTTTTGCTCGATGGAGCCTTCATTGTTGAAGGAAGTGATAATCCGCAAGACAAGATTTTCAGAAATGTGTAGGAACAACTTGTTGGCATTCTCAGCATTTCTTTTAGCTTCCTCCTCCTGAAGATAAAAGACCATGTTAATTAGAGTCCTTGTCAAACGTGTGAAGGTTCTGAATACAATTCAGCCTTACGTACAGTCAGTTCCTTCTCGATCATTTTTGTTGAAGCAAGAAGGTGCTCCTTATCAATAAAAGGAAGCTTGCAGATACCCTACAAAAGAGATATTTTTGAAACATAAGAAAATTATAGGCATATAAAACATGGATGTTGAAGGGAGGAATAGATGTTTTGAACAATAATCATCCCCTAACCTGCCAAAGAAATCTTTTCCCATCCGTGTCAACATCAAAATCTGAGTATAAACGACAACATATGTATAGAATCAATATTGTTCATAAAGATATTAAGCAACAAAATTTATCTGTCTGGCAATTTAGAATGGGACATACCATTAGGATAGAAATCAAGAATACTCGAATCATCAGTTGTCATGAGTGACCGATATGAAGGGGGAAGTGCATGGGCACTACATGAGCACAAATTAGATAAGATTATGAACAAAACCTGATCAACCAATGTAACCATGTTTCTAAAAAAAGAAATTTAAGAAGATACCTAGAAGAGGGGAGAACAGACATAAGCTGATCGAATGGTTTAAAAGGGGATCCTCTTTGAAACGTAACTTTAGTACTTGAAAGACCTTTAAAATCTGATGCAAATGGCGCATAATGGAATGGGTAAAACCTGTTGATGGATAATCACAATCGTTATTCTATGTTATCAACCAGTCTGAGTATGATGAACCTATAAATATTGATCTTATTCACAGACGCCCCTCACCATGTCCATGATGCAACACCCGAGAAGTAATATAGAAGAACCCAACACAACCCTTGGGTGTATTTTTCGACCTACAAAGAATAAAATGCACATGTATGAAATAAAGTGGATCCAATACTTGAGAATAAATACAATTAGTAAAATAGTTGATGTGACATATATACATACAACTTCTTTCCTCGTATTTTCCATATCTGCTCCCGTTTCAGCAGAAAACTTGTATTTGTAATAGCGTTTTCTCCATCCAGGAGTACCCAGTTTCACCTGACAAATTAAATTTAGTTTAAAAATTGCTTAGTTGTGGTAATGAATAGATGGAATGCTCACAAGAACGATCCCTACCATGTCTGAAAGAAGATCGTTTCTGAAATTATCCGATATCTCACGTATGTAAGATTTTAGTTGCTCCTTCAATGCTTTTGTATTCTGGGCTATCTGAGAGAAAACAAGAAAAAGACATTTCATATTGAGTTATGATTTGAAAAGATACAAAAATGATAGCGAAAGATAGTATTTCTCAACAATATATCGTACTTGCACATCATGATCGGTTGATTTTTCAGTGTATGGTGACCGAGCATCAGAACCAACAGACGAGCCCTTCTGATCACCACTCTAGACAAAAGATTACTTGTAAAAATATGTTTTTGACAGCTATTATAAAACTTATTGAATTTGTAAGAAATTTAAAGATAAAGAACCTTATCCTTGACTTCTGACAACATGTATCGAAGTTTGCTCTTGTGGAATATTGCTGATCTTTTCTCGAAAATCTGATCTTCATATGCGCCAACTGCAAGGATGAACTTTTCGACCCTTTTTAGCTTGATATACCCTCCTTTCTCATCACCAACCTGTTTCCATTTTTCAAAAATTCAAAACCATAGAACCTAATATTATATACATCGCCAAGAATGAGTTGTAGATATCAAAAACAGACTCTTCTAGGGTCATGAAAGAGACTAAATTTATTTACATTACATCATTAGTTACCTTTTCCGTATTCACAAGATACCCTCCAAGGTTCTTAAACTCGTGCTTGTACACATAAATCAATAGATCAATAGCACCCTGATCAAGAATGATAAAAATTCAGAATTTGAACTTTCGACCACAAAAGCAGCAATGATTTAGTTGTCTCATGAACATTTCAATACACTTTTTTGGTAAACTCTAGCAAATTTTCATTTTTGTACTTTGTCATCATCGAAAATTCCTTGAAACGAAATAGCAAAAATGAAAAGGCATTCAAACCTCAGGAATTTCCAAGGTTGGCATAGGCGGAAGAAAATCATTTCCACCGAAAAAACATAAGAATATGAAATCATCAATTAGTCGTTCAATATCATATTCAAAATTTTCAGGAACATTTTTGGTTCTCAAATCAAGGTTAAGATATTCTCTCAGTATCCAAACATGAACAAACTGCAGTAAGAAAAAACAATAAAACTAACATTAGAATGGCACGAAGTGAACGCATACTACAACATAAATACGAATTTTTAGCTCATGTTTAATCCATCATACGTTTCATGGAAACATGTAAAGACGATAAATTTAAATTCACATATATTTACATAACCGTTCATGGATAATTAAACCACTTGTTGTAGGGACATGCACATCTGACTCCTTACCTGGTGAGGCTTCTTCACCAACGACTTTGGCTTTCCAGCTGGCAACGACACAGAGGAGTGACTTGTTCTTGAGTTATCTTCTGCAAAAACATTCTGACAAAACAAGAACTTAGAATTAGAATGGATTACAAAAAACTGTATATATTAATTAGAATTTAACAAATAAACACGATTTTACAATAAGCAAAGCAAGAACCTCTCGCAAAATGGAGAAATGGACTTCGTGTGTAGCCAGAGCGAGCATAATAAGGTCTGTATCCTGACCATACAAGACATGGCGTGTATTCGGATTATAACCAGGGCAAGTACGTTGAAGCCGTATGAATGACATTATCTTGTGTTCTCCTTCACCAGGGGCATTCGCATCAGAAAGAATTACCTAAATGATCGAACATTAACAAACACCATGAAAATGGATACAGTTTGGATTACGTATTAATCAACTAAATTATTAAATCTTTCAAGATACACGTGCGAACCTTCAAGTGTTTCCAAGCATCATTTTTTGATATGCGCAGATTAATGTAAGTCTGGAGTTGCTTTGATAACTCGAACATGAACGTTGTGCCAGGAGTGATTATGCTCGAATCTGACATTTCTGATTCCTGGTGCGGAAGAACATCTCTACCTTCAATTTCGTATTGTCTTCTCAATCTATCTTCTTCTTTCCGCTATATATAGACATTAATTTCAACTTAATTATGAAATAGTCAAAAAAGACGTGGAACTCTAGCATGCAGAAATAGTTCGGATCCCGATTATGATTATCTATTAGTTTCTACTTTCTACTAGAATGTTTCGATGAAATGTGTATGAAAAAGCATGTACTGTAGGAGAAAAACGTACAAGTGTCTCGTGGTCTTTGGAATTTCTAAATCTTCTTGTTCTTTGCTGGTTCATTTTGGCTCTTGGTGCAACCCCATCTGCATAATGTTTTTAAATTTGTAATCTTTGAATATGGAAGTGGATTTTAGTCGAAAAATATCACTTACCTATGGCCAAATATAGAAGCTTTCGTGGTCTTACTATCATCATAACCCTGTCTATATACTCAAATATGTTGCTGAAAACATCTTCGTAAGACGCAGGAGTGTTTAACTGTAAAAAGAACAAGCATTGTAAAAAATAGAGATTTTTGTATAGTAAATTCCCATAAAAGTTATTTCCATTTTGGAATACAGAAAAAAATTGAAAAACATTATTTTTTATTTTGACATTGATTTTTTTCTTAAACTAAAAATCATGTTTTTCAATTTTGTTTAATATTGACTACATACTCGGTTGTCTCCTCATATCCTGACTAAGAAATAATGCTCACGATGCATTATTTGTTGGGGATTAATAGGCAAGGTGTGTGGTAGTCTATTTGTTTCTAGATAAAGAATCGGTGCTATGAATAGAATGTCAGAATTATTGCTTGTGCATTTGCAAGGGATTATTGATATTAGAGGCGGTTATGATTGGGAAGTTTTCGAGGTCTCCATATGAGATTCGACGTCTCTTTGAGTATGCTTGGTCTTTATTTGCAAGACCATCTTGCGTTGTGTTACACATTCCAAGGGTCAAGGATGGTATGTATCTGGTTGAGCCGGTTTGAGTTTTAGTGTGTTTGCAATACCAGTCAATGGTAGTTCGAACCCTAAGTGGGGGAGAGTCGGGTATTCTACTTGGGGGATCATCAATGTGTTCAAGTTTATGGTTTCAGAATAATGGATCCCAGGTATCTGCCATTCGGGTATGCTATATTTTGGTTCAAGATTTGGTGAAGATGGAGTGCAGAGCAAGTTGCCATTAGATGCATGTGTTCAAGAATGGATGAGTTGTCATCGCGGAAGGAATCTGTTGGACAAGGGACTCATTGTAGCTAGTGGTTCCTTTTGGGAATGCCAATGAATAGAGCACGAGGCATTGGGTCGCTCAGGTTGAGAATCGGTTATTGAGGGATTTGTCAGCCCGTTGTATAGATTGTTATCTATAGTCTAGGTTGGGCAGCTGTCGATCAGTAAATCAGCTTCAGAGTTGGGTATGTTTAGTTCCACATGGGTTTTGTTTAGTAGTGTATTGTATCATTGTTGGAGATAGTGTCTAAGTCCATAACTACATTTGGTATGTACTTGACCCGACCCGGCATGGTCCATTTGGGTTGCACTTCACCCGAACAATTTACGGATAATCTTTTGAGAATAGTATAAGTTATGATTTATTAATATATTATAAGTTCTAATATATTAATATAAAATCATATTATTTAATTAGTATTGATCTATAATTAATCTAGAATTAATTTAGAGATCAAAAGTATGACTAATTAAATATGGGCTCTTGTATTTATATAGTGTGGGCTAATGCTTATTTGGAATGGGCTAGGCTTGCATGGAAAGTCCATGGATACTCCATGGAGCTTTAACCCATGGATCTCATGGAAATGAAAAGACATGGATATTAGGGTTTACATGAATGTAACCCTAATCCACCACACTATATAAAGGAGGCTTTGGTTCTTGAAATCACTAGTTGATGTGTGTAAACTAAGAGGGCCGATTTCAAGAAGTTTGTGACTATTCTCTCAAGTTTCCAAGTTTGTGGTGATTTGTGACTTCCATTTGAGGCATCCACATTATTGGTGCTAGGCTCTCAAACTCCAAGCAATCAACTACTACTACAAGGTAAGTAATTCTACTAGTTTTATTTGATTCAAGTTCCCCATGCCATGCTAGATAGGATAAGAACCTTGGAAAAATAATTATTTGCATGTATCATAGTCAAACATAGATCCAAGGTTTCTAGGGTTGCATGTACACCATAGGAGTGTTAGAATGCTCAAAACCCATCAGTGGTATCAGAGACAGGTTTGTTTATTTGATATTTGATGCAAAAAAAAAAAAAAAAAACTTGAAAATCGAAGTTTTGTTCAAAAGCTCGTATCAAAATTTCAAGTTTTGTATATGTACTTACGATTCTTGAAATTTTTGATATGAACATTCATAAACATATGAGTTTAGAAGATCATAGAAATTATGTGCTAATAATTGATTAGATTAATTCTTGATCTTTATGTGTTTTAATGGAGTCCATAACTAGTTCTTAAGTTATGGATAACCAAAAGTCACATTTATAAATAACCATTAAAAGAACACATAGGTGAGTCTTCATTTTTAATAACCATTAACTCATAAGTTATGAGAAATGAAAAGTTTTGAAAGTTTACAAAACTTTCCCTCAAGTTTTGGAACATGTAAAGTCATATTAAAAACTTTAGTTCCAACCCCTAGAATTTTAAAAGTTAAAATTCAACCCTTATACTTTATAATATTATAAGTTTAATAATATTTATATATGTATAAGATCAAGTCGTCTTACCGCTAGTACGCCTCATTCACGAAGCCGGTCTATAAGGGGGTATAAGGTTGTTGCCTATAAAATGGCAACTTAATGGGTGTCCACTCTCACCCACCGCTTCCTTGATCGGTGGAGGGTCGTTAGCCGAACGGGTAGGACAAGGACTTATAAATTCTCATTAAAAGTATAATGATAATACTAAAGTAACTAAAATTTATTGAATTCCCAATCTTAGTTATTTTAGGAAAATGTGAATAAGGTGCTAATCCATGAAATTACACTTTACACTTTGTTTAAGTCGTTAGTGGAGCGTGTGTGGTTAACCGGCACACTAACTTGAACTTAACAAGGTAGGTAAAGGGTGACTTAATGTTTATCATAGTATCGATGGAGCGTGTGTGGTTAACCGGCACATCGATTGAGGGGTAATACATTAAGGGTACCAAGTAATTTGCATGGTTACTTCACACCTTGTTTTGTGATCCTCGGCATCCCAGTCACAAAACTTGAAGGGCACACTCGAGATTGAAACATGCCATTGAAGGAAGTTCAATGAATCTCAAAGAATCTAGGAGTTTCTAAACCAATTAAAACCTAATTAAATATTTCGTTTTTCATGGTGGAAATTGGTGAATCGTCATTCACCTACCTTCAAATATCTTATAGCTTAGATTACGACATCCCTCTTCTAAGTTATAAAATATTGTGTTGGGTCCTAGCCTTAATATTACATCTGGGTGTTTTGTTAAGGACTATCTCTATATCTAATCTAATCTATTCCCTCTTCTTTTCAGATGTCTTCCAATAACAATGCTTCTGGCTCAAACCCTACTAGCTCCTTCTCTCTCATGAATCTTTGTGGGAGAGTCATCTTTGATGGGTCCAACTTTACAGATTGGATCAGAAACATCAGGATGGTCACTCGGTATGAGAACAAAGAATATGTTCTCGACAAGGAGCTGAAGGTACCCGAGCCAACTGCTACTCCTGAAGAGCTTGCTGAATATGAGGTACATGAAAGAGATGCTACAAAAGTGGCATGCATCATGATGGCCACCATGACAGCCGAGCTCCAAAAGTCCTATGAGGACTATTATCCTTTTGAGATGCACCAGGACTTGATGGACCGCTACCATCAAAGTGCTCGTCAAGAGCGATATGAAATAATCTCCTCCATGATAACAACCCGAATGAAGGATGGTGAACGCATCACAGGCCACATGCAGAAAATGCAAAGGTATGTGGACCGTTTACTGAAGCTGAATGTGAACTTCCCTGAGGAGTTAGCAATAGACATCATTTTGCACTCCTTGCCATCGTGTTATGATCAATTCCGCATGACATATCACATGAACAAGGAAGAAGTCACCCTCAGCAAACTTCAAGGACTCTTGAAGACCGCCGAAAGTGGTCTAAAGGGTAAGTCGGTTGTTACTACTCCTACTCCTACTCCAACTGCGGCCAATGTCTTGGCAATCGGGCATGGCAAAGGGAAGAAGAGAAAGAACCCTTCTAAGGGTACCAAGGGTAAGACCCTTGAAGGCTCCTCTTCAAGCAAAACCAAGAAAGGTTTTGTCACTCCTTCTGCTAACCCTAATGAGGCTGAATGCTTCTATTGCCATGAAAAGTCACACTGGAAGCGAAACTGCCCAAAGTACCAGCAAGATTTGAAGGATGGGAAAGTAAAACCCAACCATGCAGGTATATACACTATATTGTCTAATAACTCACCTCATTCTAAGTCTTGGATCCTTGATACAGGTTGTGGTATTCATATATGTTGTGATTTGCAGGGACTAAAAAGATGTGAGAATGTGGAGCAGGGAAAGATAAACTTGATCATGGGAAACAGGAAAGCTTCACCTGTCACCAAGATAGGAGTTTATTCCTTAGTGCTAAATAGTGGGTTTACATTAGATTTGAATAAATGTTATTATTCGCCAGAAATGGCAAGAAATGTTATTTCCTTTCATGCATTGTATAAACAAGGTTTTACCTTTTATTTTGATAATAATAATGGTAGTATTGATGCTTTCTTTAATAATGTTCTTTATTTTAAAGCATTACCTTGTGATGGCGTGTATGAAACTGTATCTGTTGTAGATAGTCTAGGAAATAATGTATTGTGTATTAACTCTTCCACTAGCTTAGATAAAGCATCCTTATGGCATTGTCGTCTTGGACATGTAAGCAAGAAACGCATAGGCCAACTCCAAAAGGATGGAGTCATGGAGTTATTTGACCTAAACTCAGATGATAGTTGTGAATCTTGTTTGCTTGGTAAAATGAAAAAGTCACCTTTTACTGGCACTTGTGCTAGGGGTGAAGGTTTGTTGGACCTCATACACACGGATGTGTTTGGACCCTTCAGAACTGCCACAAGAGATGATAATCGGTTCTATGTGACTTTTACTGATGATTTTAGTAGATATGGATATGTCTACCTAATCAAGCATAAGTCAGAAACCTTTGAGAAAATCAAAGAGTTTAAGCAAGAAGTGGAGAATCAGTTGGGCAGGAACATTAAGATGCTTCGATCCGATCGTGGTGGTGAGTATCTT